ATGCACTATATATTTTCCAATGTAAAATTTCCAGCTAAACACAATCTCGGTGTCAGAATTGCCATATGACGTCATGTAAAGCCACAAAATGCCAAACAAAGCGCTCTTTATGAAAAGTGCATATCTCAAAAACTCTTTAATTTTTTTCAAATTTTTACAAAAGGCGCCTTAATACAAGTACTTTCGAATAAAAGTTGTCCCAGAAATCCTTTTTATATGTTTGAAGCCGCTGCGCCCTATAAGAGTAAAAAAAACGCGATTTCCCGCCTTCTTTAGCGATTTTCCTTCTTTTTCAGCTTTTAAATAACTTTTAGAGGTTTTCTGACAACGAATTCGAATTCTAAGGAACATTTTACATAAAAATAACTATTTTGAATTTATTTACCACCGATTTTACCGTTTTATAGGGGGCGACACAATATGGAACGCAGAATTGCGCGCTGTAATCAATACATTTTTTGCGCTAGGCTTTTATTATTATACACATTATAATATTTGTTCGTCTATATACACAAGGGTGTGTGTGTATGTGTATAATGTACGTATATATAAAGTATGTATTACCTTATTAGAATACTTACAGTAATGTATATGTTTGAAATTCTCTCACTGCTATATTCACCACTGGGCGGCGTGTTTCCCACTGTCTATATAAATAACAATAATATGTAAATAAAAATAAAAATAAAAAAAAATCTGGCTATATAAATAAAAATAAAAAATAAAAACGTTTATTGTGCTAATTAATATGATACCGGAACCATAAAAGAAGTGATTAAAGAATTAGTGGAGTTATTCTCAACTTTTTTGCCTTATCAATACATTTCAAAGAAACAATCTCAGTACTTAAAAAATTAAAAGGAAAAACTAGATAAAGATACTGTCATTGTATTACTAGATTTCAGTGAAAATTATAGTTTCATTATTCAAGAGACGAAACACAAGGGAATTATTGGTCCCGAAATATGTGTATTTTGCACCCCGTAGTCATTTTTTTTGGGTTTTTTTTGTTTAAATGGCATAGGCAAGTACAGCCAGTCATAACATGAAGAAAATTGAGTAGTACAATATAGAAATTGGATGTACTTGATCTATATAATTTTTGCAAAGAAAATAAAAAAAATAATTTAAAAAATAAGTCTTTTTGATAATGGCAGGAGAAATAGATGCTGAACGCGAATCAACTACATCCAGTGCTCATACTTTACCTGGTACACGATCATATCACCTCTTCATCTCGTTGTCGGATTCAGTGGTAGCATGTAAAAGCACAAGCTTTGAAAAAGAAATCGATATTAGATTTGATTTATTAAAAAGCAAAAAATACGAATGGAAACAGTGTTCATACGTATCATTTGTCATGAAGGATGAATGATACATAGAATATATTGATAAACTTTCTGAACAAAATATGGAAGCTGAAATATCAATTTTACCAGATATCAAACCGAATGTTTATGCGTGGCAAGCTATAAATGAACAACTGACAGTTCCTTATAATTATATTCTAATTTATTTAACTGTGTGCGAACATAAAAATCACCTTCAAATACAATTAGACAGGACAAAATGTAACTTTGGTCTTTTTATAAAACAGAAAAATGACAAATAAAGTATTATTATATTACAATAAAGTAATATTATATCACAATTATAACAGCTTTGGTGATTTATTTAATTATGATAATATATATATATATATATATATATATATATATATATATATATATATATATATATATATATATATATATAGTCATTTTTTGTGTAAAATTTTCCGTAGAATTCGAATTCGTTGTCAGAAAACCTCTTAAAAGTTATTTGGACTTTTATAGGGCGCAGCAGCTTCAAACATATAAAAAGGATTTCTGAGACAACTTTTATTCGAAAGTACTTGTATTAAGGCGTCTTTTGTAAAAATTTGAGAAAAATTAAACAGGGTGTTTTTAAGATATGAACTTTTCAAAAAAAGCGCTTTGTTTGGCATTTTGTGGCTTTACATGACGTCATATGGCAATTCTGACACCGAGATTGTTTTTAGCGGGAAATTTTACATTGGAAAATATATAGTGGATATTTGTTTAAGCATATTTAGCTCGCTGTACTAAAAAAATCGGCGAAACACGAAAAAAAATCATGTTTTTTTGTCTAGTACAACATGTGTGTAAAATTTCAGCCAAATCGGAGAGGGTCACCCCACCGACTTGTGTCGATTATTGCTGGAATTACCCATTTATAATGTCACGGTACGAGTTGCCTCCAAAATACCATTTTAAAATTTGTACTTTTTCTTCTTGTATACATGGTTAGAAACACTACTTTAATTTCAGCTTATGGCATGAAAATGAGAAGCAAAGGTATTTGATTTCTTCGGTTAGTGATGTTCCTTGGAACTGTTGCCAAATCAGTAGATACCTTCGGCAAAAATCGGTAGATTTCGACATTTCATAATATTGTTACGTAAAATATGAGTCATATTAAAAACCTGTAAACATGTTGTTTACTCACATTTATATTCTAGTGTGTTCTCCGAGCCGCTATAAAAAACCAGTCTAGGTTCCAGTCAATTGGAGGCAATTCAGGTCAACATCCATGGGATTCTTTTTACAAGAAGGTCGTCGTCCGCTCGAGGGAACTCTGGGCTAACGGCAGTTTATATTTAAATAGAAATTTTGTTGTAAACAGGATCAGTTAGAAAAGAAGATCGCGACGGGTATTTTAAAATGTAACGCTCGTATTCAAATAAATTATGTAGTTATTATTGTAAGATAAATTCGTACAAATAAACTTTAAATAAATTAAGGTGTAAGTGTTATAAATATAGAACCTTTGATAAATGATAATAAAAACAATAAATTAGAATTAATAAAAACATAACAATATTATACACCCTTTTAAATTTTAAATTATAAACAATATTATGAAATAATTAATTAATAATGAGAAAAAACAAAATTGTTATTAATAAAACAATATTATCTGCACAAAAATACAGAATTACGAATATTCCAAACGGAGTTTCTAGTCTAGGCGGGATCTGTTTTGGATTGGACATTTTGCATAGGAAGCTATTTTTTACTGGAATCCCTTCAGGATGTGTCCAATATCGAAAATTACGATATGCATCAGTCGCAAACCATGTGCTAAATTTTTTATTTAACAAAATCTGAAAACAATTGAAAATTTCTCATTTTTTTGCTCCTATTTTTGTTTATAATTCGGAAAATATTAATCATAGAGAAAAAATTATAAGAAGTTAAAAGTTTCGTTATTTAATTTTACACAATATTTCGTTAGCTAGAAATTGAAAATTTAATGTTTATTGTTGAAAAAAATAGCAATAATTGGAAAAAAAGTACAAAAAAATGAAATTAATCCTTTAAATGTTTTCGACTTTCTAAACTTGACTTACAAGCTCCATATTCCGCCTAGAAAAACTTTTTAATATGTTTAAAACGTGTGCTAAATTTTGTAAGATCGGTCGGATTGGTTTTGCATAATAATTTTGCAATCCAGCCTATTGAAAAATAAAAAATCGCAAATTTTCAAATTTATAGTAGGCCTAAAATAAGGCCCTCATATAGTTGCAAATATTTTTACATATAAAGGAAAGTTTTAAACATTTTTTAGGCTTATAAACAAATTGAATTACTTTACAATAAAATGTTTTTTTTTCGTTCGCCTTTGTTTTAACAACTTAAATTATTTATTAACAATTTATAAATACATATTTGTTTACTAAAAGTAACAATTTACTTCAATGTATATATTGCAAGCTCAAAGAAAAAAACACTTTCGAGCAATACACAGCAGTATAATAACACGTACAATATACACGTCATTTTCGAATCAAAATATCTTCTCAAATCAAATAATGTCATTATTATGATAAAACTGCAGAAATAAATTATCTTTAATGTTAATTATTTTAAAAAGTTTAATTTTTACAAAAAAAAAATCGTTCGCCTTTGTTTTAACAATTTAAATTATTTACTAACAATTTATAAATATATATTTGTTTACTAAAAGTAACAATTTACTTCAATGTATAAATTACAAGCTCAAAAAAATGCATGAAGAAAAAATGCGATTACTGGTTTAACATACAAATGTTTATTGCAAATTTCAATTTGAAATCCTTGTCGTCCGAGACATCATCGATTCAAAAAAAGAGCAAAATTGGTTAACAAGAAGCCGAGATTATCCAATTTTTAGCGCACGCTATGATTTTGAACCCGCCGATTCACATTTCGAATGAATATCCCCCACCACCAACTCTCATGCATTCCGAGCGACATTTTACACGAAACAAGTTTTTTATTTGTCTTTTTTATGAATGTTGCCATGAAGCGCATTACGTAAAACTTTTCATATAAAAAGTACTTGACAAGACGAGGGTATTTGTTTAAAAACGAGCCCTCTATCACTTATGGTTACACGGCAAATATATGCCAACTTTGACCTTCAATATCTCGGCAACCAGTAAGCCGAATGTATCTTTTTTTTTTTTAAGAAGCGCCTTTTAATGTTCGTTAAGTGTATAAATTTTGAAATTGATTTGTTTAAAGCTCGTAAAGTTATTCAATTTGTTTATAAGCCTAAAAAATGTTTAAAATTTTAAAAAAATTTCTATGCTCTAGTAAACTGATTTGAATTTTACAAAAAGCATTTGAAAGTTTGAGCCTTCCTTTATATGTTACTATAAATTTGAAACTTTGCGATTTATTATCCAAACCTATCCGACCGCTCTTAACAAAATTTAGCACACTTTTTAAACATATTAAAAAGTTTTTCTAGGCGGAATATGGAGCTTGTAAGTCAAATTTAGTAAGTCGAAAACATTTAAAGGATTAACTTAATTTTGTTGTACTTTTTTTCCAATTATTGCTATTTTTTCAACAATAAACATTAAATTTTCAATTTCTAGCTAACGAAATATTGTGTAAAATTGAATAACGAAACTTTTAACTTCTTATAATTTTTTCTCTAGGATCAATATTTTCCGAATTATAAACGAAAATAGGAACAAAAACTGAGAAATTTTCAATTGTTTTCAGATTTTGTTAAATAAAAAAATTAGCACAGGGTTTGCGACTGGCACATATCGTGATTATCGATATTGGGCACATCCTGAAGGGATTCCAGCAAAAAAATAGCTTCCTATGGAAAATGTCCATTATGGTCTGAATTTCTACAGATCCCGATTAGTCTATTCAGGAAAAATCGGTAGACGAAACAATACTGTTAAATATTAAAAATATGCTGTTACAAATCGCGAAAGAGCAGCAATCCAGTGGGATAAACATATCAATTATAAAACATCGCGACGTTGTATTGAAATTTACATTGGTTAATTGCAAATCAGGTAATCTAAGTAATTGGATTAAAATCCTTATGCTCCGTTAAAAAATTTCCAAATGTGTATACCCTATTTACACCAATATAATAACATTTCTCTGTCGATTGTGTTAAAAACTATTCAGCTTTTATAGAAAACTTCTTAGTCAGCAGTTGGTAGAACCATGAATCTTGCGCTTGTGAACAACAAGGTGCCATTTCAATTTAAACGATAGCGAACAAATATCACATTTATAATTTCGTTCATCACTATGTGTTGCAAAATGAACAATGAGACGCCTTTTCTCCTTGAATCCTTTTAAACAATGAAAACAATATACTTTTTTTTTATCGCGATGAAGTCTCATATGTACGCTTAAATTTCGCCTTAATGGAAAAGATTTTGAACAAATTGAACACTTAAAACCATTTTTGTCAGGATGAGACCTAACATGTCCTGTGTAAGGTGATTTCAATTTAAAAACCCTTGGACAATGTGGACATTTATACTCTTCTTCAATTTTATTGTGTGTTTTCAAATGTTGCTTAAGATGCACTTTTAATAAAAATGCTCGATTACAAATTGCACAATAAATGTCCTTAACTCCTGAATGATGTTTTAAGTGAAGCTGAAGATTATACTTATGCATAAATGTCTTCGGACAAATAGAACATTTAAAATCCCTTTGATCTAAGTGAACCTTTAAATGTCTCTCAAGTTGTGCCTTTGTTACAAACGACTTTGAACAAACTTTGCATTCGAACTCTTTAACAGAATGTGTTTTTAAATGTTGAGCTAGGGAACCCTTATATCTCAATAATTTAAAGCAAATGGGACACTTAATATCTAATTCTAAAGTGTGAGATTTTATATGTTCTCTCATAAGAAATAGGTTGTTTTGTTCTTTTGAACATTCTGAACATTTATAATATACGAGTCCATTGTCGTGTTTATATAATGGTGTAAGACTAGTTTTATATATTCTTTCTATTTCTGTTTTTTTCAAAACGTTACTTCGGTTTGTTTCAGTTTTATTTTTAACAAGATTAGGTTGTTTTGGTATTTTACTATACTTGCTACCTTCTTTCTGTTTTTTCTTTTTATCATTTACTTTGGTTTTTCTTTTCACTGTACGATTCACCGCATTATAATTAAAAACCTTTTGTGGAGGACTGTCGACGTTGATTTCTTTTTTTCTTTTAATCGTAGTCACTGAAATTGTTTTCCTGTTTTTAATTTTAGTTAATAACTCATCGTGGCCCTTTTCCTCTTTTAATGAATCTTTTTTAAACTGTTCCGCATTTCTTTTTACCTAAAAACATATATGATCGTATTAATATTCTTACAAAGAGAATCAAACAGTCATTTCAATTAAAAATAAATCAATGAAAAACAACATAGTGTTTACAAAAGCAGATAAAGGTAACACTACTATTGCTACAGATAAAATAGAATTCAAGCCTTGATGTGTAATTACCGATCCCGTTCACTGAGCAAGTAAAGAACTCTATATTATATTCGGCAAAAACATTATGTAAAACGAATGTCTCCCAGAACTCGGCTGGGATAGGCCGAAATGATCATAACACTTTAGTGATACCGATTCGAGCACGGGAAGTTTAACGAATTTGTCTCCTAGGCCATATATTTGGCCTTTTAATAACACCAAAGCAGGTGGCGCCTTTGTAAGCTAACTACGCAGTAGTGAAGTTCTGGGAGACATTCGTTTTACTTTCCGAGTTTGAATTTGTATCAGCCCAAGTGTCTGACGATGGCTGGGATAGGCCGAAATGATCATAACACTTTAGTGATACCGATTTGAGCACGGGAAGTTTAACGAATTTGTCTCCTAGGCCATATATTTGGCCTTTTAATATAATAAAGCGATAGCGGCTTTCGCTAAAAGATTTAATCTTTCATATATATATATATATATATATATATATATATATATATATATATATATATATATATATATATATATATGTATATGTATATATATATATAGTGTGTAAAAGCCAAATGCAACCCCTACCTTCAACCCCCTTAGAATGACAGGTAAAACCCCCAATGTTTAAAATAGGAAGTATAGGCTTGTGATATATCGTTTGAAAGGTCTTTTCATTCTCCATTCAAAAATGTTGTCGCTTTCAAGTTTATTAAGATTAATTAAGATAAAATAAATTAAAATCATATGGTTACCGAAATTCGCTACAATACAATCAAAAACTAAAATGTAATGCAAAACGTAATAAAATGTAGAACACAAAAAAGAACTATAAATGTTAATGAAGTAGATAATCAAAATGTTCACCGCGAACGTCTTGGCAACATCCTAATCTCAAATAAAACTGTCTTCTAACACTATTTAACATAACAGGCGTGATCGACCTAATCGCAAGCGATATTCGTTCTTTTAAGTAATTTAAATCAGAAGGTTTAGTTTTGTACACATGGCTCTTCACATATTCCCATAAAAAGAAATCTAATATTGTAAGATCAGGCGATCGCGCTGGCCATTAAATCGATCCTCGCCTCCCTATCCACCGATTGGGAAATATTGTATCGCGGTACTGCCGGACATTAAGTTGGTAATGTGGTGGTGCTCCATCTTGCTGAAACCATATCGTATTCGCTGGAACTTGAGGGGTTCCTGGATCAGGATATAAATTTGCCAACGTTGGTATGACATCATTTTGAAGTAGTGCCAAATAATTGTTGCCATTCAAGTTGCCCTCAATGATATTGTTTTCTACAATCCCTGTCCAAACATTAACCTTTTGAGGGTATTGAGTGTGTTCTTCTCTCATCCAGTGAGGATTTTCCGTGGCCCAGTAGCGGCAATTTTGCCGATTAGCATGACCGTTAAGTGAAAACGTACACTCATCAGAAAACATAACGTCTTCTAATTGGATAATATTGTTATCCAACATGTCCATCATTTGCTCACAAAAAAAAAGTTCTATCAAAATCGTCTTCCATGAGCTCCTGAGTAGGTATCATCTTATAGGGATCCAATTGATGTTCTTTTAATATGTTTACTATCGATGTATGGCTAGCATTGAATGTAGTGGATGCCTGTCTACTCGATGTATGTGGATTTTCCTAAAACTCAAGCGACACATCTAATTTGAGTTCATCACTCAGTGCATTGTCAGCTTCTTTTTTTATCTTCCTTACATGACCAAATTCGCGAAACTGCTTTTCTATTTTACTTATTGTTCCTTGAGATATAGGCGGTAAATTAGGAAATTTCTCATGAAATAGGCGAGTTACTTCCTGTTGTGTTCGGATGTTATCTCTGTAATCAATCATTTGTAAAACTGTTATTTTATGCATTTCCGTTAATCTAACCATTTTTCAGAATTGAATTGAACGAACTTTTTACTTAAATTAAACGTTGCCACGGATATTCTTTTAATGGTTACCATCTAAAAACCACATTGCTATGGTTTTTGTTCACTTTATCATTATCAAGACCTAAACGGGAAATAAGTTTTGAGTATATTTTAGCGAATTTCGGTAAGCACATGATTTTAATTTATTTTATCTTAATTAATCTTAATAAACTTGAAAGCGACAACATTTTTGAATGGAGAATGAAAAGACCTTTCAAACGATATATCACAAGCTTATACTTCCTATTTTAAAAATTGGGGGTTGTACCTGTCATTCTAAGGGGGTTGAAGGTAGAGGTTGAATTTTCACGTTAAAAATGTCAAGTTATAATTTAAATTTGACGTGTTTCGGGATTTTTTATAAATATGTACAGTAACCTAAATAATGAATTTATTCCATAATTGGCTTTTACACACTGTATATATAGTGTAGGTAAAAGTTTATAATCGGTACGGACCTTACGTGAGATGTAGTGAGAAACACCTGTTTAAAAAGAAAGAGGTATATTAGGTCCGCCCTTTATATCTCCGAAAATGCATGAGTGGAATTAATAAAAAGGGTAAGTTCAACGTTGCCAAACTTATTGGTTTTATTTGACCTGTTGTTTTTTTAACATTTGAACAATGTTCTAAGATCAGAAACGCCAGCTAGTCCCCAAGCTACGTCTTGGGGACACTTGTTCCATGTTTCGCACATACCCTCAATTTGGTCCTTCAAGCTAGAATAATGGAAATTCAAGGACACGTTAACAAGGTTAAGGCCATCGTGTAATATTTTAAAAAGGGTTCCAGTGCTTCAGCTAAACTAAGAGGTATACAAACGAAGATGGGACTACCTGGGCTAAAATTAAAACAAGATGTCGTAACAAGATGGAACTCTACGTATGATATGCTCAAGAATATTATTGGTTAAACCAGCTGTTGTCGGCTTATTAGACATATTATAAGACATATATTTGAAAGAATTTCGATAGAATAGTCTAGAACGTCCTAACTGTGGCAAATCCTGTGGCTGCTAGTATCGTGGAGGTAGAAAAATATATTAATGAACCTCATATTAGAAGAACAGAAGATCCACTACATTGGTGGGAGGAAAGAAAACAAATATATCCTCCCCTTTATAAGTTAATGCGGAGAAGATTATGTGTTGTAGCAATATCCGTTCCATGCGAGCGAATATTTTCAAAGGCTGGATAACTTATCAGCGAGAAACGAAGTTGACTTAAACCTGAAAAAGCTTCTCAAGGTTTATTTTATTATATAATCTTGATATTTTCTATATTACCTTTTTTGTTTTTACATCGTTGGATATCACGTTTATTTTTATCACCTAAATATATATTTTTTATGATTTCCACTTAACGTTTAGCATATAACGAATCAATCGCGATTATTACAACACTAATTGTAATACCTCTATATTTGTGCCTCTGTCATGCAGCTTATGCGTAACAGCTTTTAATACACCAAAATTTGTAAAGCTTAAAGTTTATTTAATAGAGATGTAGTGAACGTCTAACAATCAACTCCATACAGTAAGTCGAGAAGATGTAACATTTGACGAGTCATATGTTCAGGCTATTATTAACACACCATCTACATAATACTTTTTTCATTCAGAAGAACACAGCTCTGAACTTTTCAATACGGATTTTCATCTATTTGCTTATATACCAATTATTACTTATATTTGTGCCGAACTTAGTGATGTTCTTGGTTTTTTCTATGTCAGTACTACATGCTACCTGGGCACCATAATAAATGAAGAATGCACCAACAACCAGGAGATTAGAGCACGCATCGGAAAAACTAGATCCACCTTCAATCGGATGGAGGCCTTCTTTAAGAGTCACAACCTCTCTATTGATACAAAAGTAAGAATGCTGCGATGCTACGTCTTCTCTGTCCTTTTTTATGGTGTTTAATCGTAGACCAACTCCACCTCTGGTAGATACTGGGTGGATTGAGTAGCTCAGTAAATGCCAGTGCCGGTCCCAAGCCCGGATGAAGGAGGAGGGTTACAGCGGTAGGTTAGCTCCCCGCCCTGTGTAAAAGAAATATTGCTAAAAATCCCAAAGAACAGCCTCGGAACTCGGATGGCTTCAACGGAAAACGACATAGGCAAAGAAAAAGGCTAACGAATTTTGGATGTTGGAACATAAGGACTGAATACAAAAGAAGACCAAGTATTTAAGGAACTCAGTACATACCGAATTGACATCGCAGTACTCAGCGAAACAAAAAAGAATGGACAGGGGAACCACTACAAAGACGATTATATATACTTCTGGAGCGGAGTAGAAAAATCAAAAAGAGCCAAAGCTGGAGTAGCGGTCGTGATAAGAAAAAACATGGAAAAATGTATTACCAACTGGAACCCGATAGACGAAAGAATTATAACAGTAGACCTTACAACAAAGGGGAGAGACATAAAAATAATTGGCATCTATCTAACGGACGACTCAGATACAAACACTAAAGACATGTTCTTCGACAAACTCTCAGAAGAGTTAAATAAAATAAAAAAAGGCAAGAAATAGTCCTGCTAGGGGACCTGAACGGAAGAGTAGGTAAAGCTCTTGACAACAAAATTATTGGACAACACGGAGAAGATGTAGTAAATGAGAACGGAACAAGATGGTTGGAGGTATGCGAACAACATTCGTTAAAAATACTGAATGGATTTTACAAACATAGAGACATAAATAAATATACATGGACTCAAAAGACAAGAAAACTGCAGTCAATTATAGACTATATAGTAGTTAAACAAGAGACATCTTTAAGACCCTACGATGTAAAAGTTTGGAGAGG